ACAACACTTGGTATCCCGTTTTCCTCCACGCGAAGTAGAATAACACCAGTGGGTGAAAGGGGCGGGATTCCAACTGGATGGCATAGAACAGTAAGGCTTAATCCTTGGAGCGCAAGGATTCGGCCTGTCGTGTCGTTACCAACCCGTTTCCATATCTCTATTTTTCACTCGTTGGCTAACATGAAAAGTGATGGGGATGGATTTTACGGACGAAGTGAACAGGGTCGAGATCGTTAGAAAAAAGTGTATATCAATGTGAGAACGGTTTTCCGATAAATTAGGGGTCGGGATCCCGATAAATATAAGGGCGAAGATCTAACCCCAGCGAGGAAGTTATTCTTCCTTCAGTGGCATGAAAGGAGACTCCAACGATTTTATACGTAGAACGTGTAAAGAAAGAACGGCTGCTACCAATAGCGTTGAGGTCAATGGGTTTTCACCAAATGAAATTAAGAATTCTTGCAGAAGAGTTCGTGGAAGTCCATGGGTCGCCAAGTTCATTTATGACACAATTTTAGGTTCTGGGTCGCGTGACTTTTGGGACACCATGTATTAGATGCAAGACCACGATCGCTTTCTTGCTTTTTTTTTCTCTCTCTTTGGGCCTAGGTGAATTTTCCCTATCTAGGGATTGATTTGTGTTCCGTGATTATCTTGTGGTCGGTTGGTCGCAAACAAATCACGGTTCACACAGCACCACGAACAACCTCCACAGCCGATCCAACCGAGTTAAAAGCTCGATCAGTGGTTCGGATAGATCCAGTCAAACCGATCCGCTTCGCTTCAAAAGCCCAGGCATTCAAGAATTCTGTTCCCGAATGGAATCATCATCTTCCTTTCTTCATTCTTGGTTCATCCTCATCAAAACGGGAGGTCTCCACTCGTTCTGTCTAGAAAGGATCGCCCAAATTCGGTGCATGGATGACCAACGGGGTCTTTGATGTTGCTATTAACCAGTTGTATTCGCTTCCCTTAAAATTTGAATTCGAAGAATGAAGAAACCCAAGCGATGACAATGAGATCTACATTCTGTGGGAAATTTATATTTAATAAAGTACCATGGGCGGTCAAGAAAACGATTGTTTCTCGGGTCGACGTTGACTTGCGGAAGCGATTTTATTTTCCACTGTTATTTTTATCTTTAGCGATGCCCACCTTTCATTTCTCTTCAGGTGAATTAATAGAAAGAAAGATTGGCAAAGAACGGCTTTTTCCAGTTTCTTGTCAACTCATGATTCAGCGCAAGTGAAACTTCAGACTTTAAAGCAAAAGACAGCAACAGAGTTCAGCGTTCTGGGATGGATTGCGTAATTGTTCTAATACGTATTCACGAATACTCGCCTGAGATAATAAGACATCCATGAAAGTGGCACAGTGTCAAAGAGAAGCAGCACACGTTTGACCACCATATCCCGCTTTTTGACCAGCATTTCCCGTCATTTGGCGATTGCTCATCTCAGCTGTCTTGCCACATCGGCAATATTCTGTCGCATGTATTTTCTTGAAGAAGGTTTCTTGCTAAACATCTTAAACTATTGCAGAGCCTTGGTGTTGCTTGCATTGACTCTTGTTTGGTGTATGGGTCACACTGATGAGGCATAGTTTGATTCTCAATATCGAAGCGGCTTAGAAATCACCTGGGTCGAAGTGAAAGAGGGATGAAACGCTTATCTCTTTACTTGCGGCTAAAAGTACTTTACAGGATAGAAAAATTTCACATTGCCCATTGTTTTATTTTTTTAAAGCCTTTGTCATATACCTAGATACAATCAAAGGGGACATAGGGTTAAATGTACAGCAAACATTCAAATAACAAAGGTTTTTTTTACATGAAATTCGACTAATTCCATCATAGCCATGGAGTGTACTGTTCACGTGAGAGCATGGGAACCCCAGTTTCAGAGGCTCTAGGCATTGGAGAAGTGATAGAATGTCGAGGAAGAGGACAGTGGAGATGGATTAACTCTGGCCGGAGGTACCAGGATAAATCTAGAATGACTCTCCACGAGATTGTAGTTCCTTGTCCAATTCTTCGAGTCCATCATTCGAGGAAAGTGCGACGGAGGAATCGATGACTTCAACGGAGAAAGGACTATGATCGTTACTCACTGTCGAAAAGAACGCAAGCAAACGCCTCCCATACTTCATTGCCAAGAGAACTGAAAAACAATTCCTTAGAACTAATTTCCTCCATTTCCTTCTCCTCACAATTCGAGACGCCTTACTGACGGCTATCAGAAATCTAAACTTTCAATACTTGATGCTCCACCTCAATCAGGCAAAGAACGTCACAAACCAAGGTTTTGATTTATACTCAATTCTTAGGCATCCAGCTTTCATGGAAAATTGCGATAGTGCTAAATTCGTATACTCCACATCCTGACTAAAAATTCCAAGCTACAACCCTTTCCAAGCGAAGCGACGCCCACCTTCGGGCTTGAGGCTCCGACAGTATCTGCCAGATAGAGAGCGACAATTTGAAACGCTTTTAATGATCAGTTGTTTATGCCAGTTAATATCCTTTGCGGTGCCTCCACAAATGCTTACTTCCTTGTGGCTTTTTTCATATCTTATACGAAAAAACCTATGATCATTTTATTTTGGGGGGAGGGGGTGGGTAACATTTCAAATTTGAAGAAAAAAGATATATTAAAGCAAAAATGCAATCGAGAGTGATGTGGATCTTTTTACATTTGTTGATATGACTTCGAATTGCACGATTCAAATCAATATTGAAAATCAATTTTAATAAGTAAAATTCTGACATTCCTTTTGACATGCATGTAAATTATTTTGCGTTGAAAACGCTTTTTCTCCTCATTCCTATTATGGATCCCAGTATTCTGAAAAACACCACCTTTTTCAAGACACAATGTGATTAGGAGGCCTAAATGGGGAGTGATGAGATGAGTAAGGTATGATGTGATCCTACTCAGACGACAGGCATAGGGAGAAATTAATCCAGGGCTGTTTCCAGGCAACATGTAAGATTCAAGCTATACTTGTATATATTGATTGGGAGGAAAGATCATGAATCAACATTCTCAGAGTTTTCTACAAAACAGTCTTATGAAAAAGAGTAATAAATGTTACTAGGCCACAGAGGTCGGCTATGATGTCAATGTAGTTCATCTAAAGGTCCCCTCCCCCTCTCAACAGCCTTGGCACCCACTTTAGGCTAACATGCCTCCCTTCCCTTAATAGTGTGACGGATGAGGATGGCATCGAGGAATGGTGACGGGTGGGAACGGGTGAATGTCCCGGGTTCGGTAGCGTAATGCTAGCTCACCTGACCGGCGATCCCGGGTTCAATTCCCGGCCGTTGCTTGGCTTTCTTTCGGCCTCTTAAGCCTTCCGTCTTCCGTCTCCTGCCCCTCTGCGTAACAATATGCCATTCCTTACCGCCTGAGTGCTGTCACCCTCCATGAGTCCTGTATCGAAGTTGACGCCTGTTTCGATTAGTTACAATTCTTGCTCCTTGTCTCGTCCAGTATTTGCCATGACTTCGAAAGGTCCCTATCCCTCGGACATTGATTCGACATCAAATATTGGATTTGTGGTACATTAAATTTTATAACCCATTGAATTCCATGTACCCAATCCATGTACTAAGGAACTTCCGTATGTTCTGTCTTTCTGAAGGAATATACATACCTATTCCAAGATTTCAGCGTATGCAGTACCCCTTGGTTTTATTTGAAAGCATCACAATTTGCATTTCTTCCTGTTATTTATTTGAATTCAGCATTCTCCGTGAACTACCCATTGCACCCACCTATTATGTAGGCAGTGCCTAAAGTCAACAATTTCTAGAGGATTCTTTCTAAAGAGAAAGTTCCCTATGCCACCATGAAATAGGTTCTGCATTAAGTGATGGTTCTTTGTGGAACCATGTCATTTACATAGGGTTTAAACTGACACCTTCTGTAATGGCCCTTGCAAAAGGAAAGTTCCAGAGGCAACGTTTATTTTGCTTTTTTTTTACAAAGGGTCGCATGAGCTTTACATTTTTTTTAAAAGATGGAATACCAAGTGTGCTCAACAGTATCCCTTTATAAAATAAACATAAGAAGGAAAGTGAAATTTTGTGCATGACTATATTACTTGAATGGAGCGACACGCCCACTCATGAAATACATTTATTTGGTGAGTGTCACAGGAAATAAATACATTTTCTAATTAAAAGCAGTATTTTCTAATTAAAAGCGGTTGCGTCTTTGGGGCAGAAAGCAGCTAGTAGAACGGATTTTTGGATCGGTTGTTAATGCCCGAGGCTTTGAAATTCCATAACAAAATTATGCGACTCAAGATGCATGGTGCTGCCTGCCTATATAATATTTTACTTTCATGTGTCCCTTTTTCTTACATATTAAATAATGCAAAATGAAGCGTTACTTTTCGAGGGTGGGACGGGGGCGAGCATTTCATAATTTGAAGGAAAGAGATACATTGAAACAACAATACAATAGAAATGAATCTTCTTCCGTTCACATTCGATTATTTTGTCTGGGATTGCTGGATCTGTCTTCTGATTCAGTATCGAAATCAAACATTGATTCGTGAATTTTAATGAATTTCAACTTGCATAAATATGAATTATTTGTACAAAACGAAAAAGTTCATGACTTGTCTTTCAAATAATGGATTCTAGTAGTTCACAAATTCCACCACTTCCTTTTCCATGCAGTTTTGCATTCATAAAACGGAAAACCTGGAGGAATAAAATGAGAAACATGGTGTTGCTGTTCTGCTCCGAAGCCAGGCTTGGGGCGAATAAATCCAGGGCCGTCTCCAGGCAGCACACAATATGCAAGCTATATTGATTGCAATGCAACTCATTAATCAACATCCTCTGAGTTTCATCCAGAACAGCCTATACAAAAAAGAGATCAATGTTACTAGGCCACCAAGGTGGGCGTTGACGTCAATGCACTTCATCTGAAGGTTCTACCGTCGACCGCCTCACTCTCACCCTTGTCCCGGAAGAATAACATTTAAGTATGGAACCTCGTCGATCCCTGGAGGACATACTCAGGATTTTCCTTGTGTTCTTACTCTCATCACGAGGCGTAGCCTCCGTCGAATTGATCCCATATCTCGGCGTGCATCCTGGGCAGAGATACGAGAATGTGTCCTCAGAATCTCAGGAACTGTCCCTCGGGATGTGCACCATTAATTGCGTGATGCAGAAACCGATTCCATGCTACGCCTTCAACTATCGGGAGACCGATCGTTCATGCCAATTGATTCTCAACAGGATGAGCAGACTCGTGGATGCGAATGGATATTGGTCCTACGTTCAGTGTGAGTCGAAATTTTCTTACTTTTATTTCAATAGATTTGTAAACGTAATCGAGACCACGAAATCCTAAATACAGGGTTGTGTCTAAGAGAGTATCCGACGATCGAAAATGCGAAGGTGTCCTTCGAGGGGTGGAACGGAAAGTACCCTGCTCCAGCACGGGGGATAGTCAAGTTCCGTTGCGAACATCCAAAAGGATTCTCGGATGGAGCTCTTCTTCACACGGCTGAATGTGCCCCTTTGAATCCGGATTCTTGGTGCATCTCTTTCCGGAAGGAAGCAGTACAATGTGAGAGCATATCATCATAAAATTCATAACCACTTCTTTGAGATCCGAATTCATCTTTTGAATTGTATTCTCCAGGCCACTTCGAGGGAAATTAGGAGAACATAGTGTAAACAGGATTCTTTCGCACGTATGTCATCTGATGAGATCCAATGCTTAAAGCCCAGATATTGATAAGTGTGTTTAAAGTATTGGATCTGTTGTAATCAATGCAGACGGTACACCTAATGCTGTTCGGAGGTAGGCAAGTTTTGTGTCGGAATAAAAATGAGAAAAAAGACGTTGTTGTTTCCTAGATGCGGAGTCGAAAGGGAAAACATAACTTCAAAAACAAGGTTTGTATTCCTACGGTTCAAGACGAATGTCGAATGATTTAATATTAGCGAGACGTCAATGTGTTTCCGGTCGCTACTCTTTCTAACATCGCCCTATGCGAATCTTTTTTTTCCTGATGAAGCTAGCCGAAAAGTAACGCCAGCATTGTTTAGAGTGATAACTTGAAATTTTAATAGCGACCATGCAGTTTTTACCTATAGATTTTCTTCTAGTATGGGATTGAATTTCAATATATATTCATGGTAGTAGACATTAAGGTGCAAAAGTCATAAGCTAAATTTCTAGAAACAAGTCTCTGGAAATTTCTAGAGATTTTGCGAGAAAGGGAGGAAAGGTCTACAGAGGGTGTAACAGGAAAGAAAACACTTTAAAAATACCATTTTTTCATGATAAATATGACTTTGATGGTGAAAATGTAGTATATTTGATAGGGAATTGTTATGTAATCATTAATATCCAATATATGCCGCATATTTCTCCATGACCTTCTTCAGCCGCTTGGTCATATAGGAAGCCAGCCTTTTCAGTAAAGCGGGGTCCAAGTTCTTCAATTCTTCTTTCATCACATTTATTACTCACATCACAGTATTGATTTGGCGCCTCCTCACACTCTCTTGCATGATTGCCCAGAGGTTCTCCATTGGATTGAGATTTACCCAAGCCATTCAACTGGAGAAATCAAGTCCCCATCGTTGTCTCTAAACCACTTTTGCGTCTTTTTTTACGTGTATTTGGGGTCCGAGTCCTGGACAAAGGAACATTTTTCGCCGGGAAACATGGTCAAAGAAGGCGCATAAGTGGTCACACAGTTTGGCAATGAAAAAGAAAAGAGAATTTGGAGATGATCCACGGCTAAAACATGATTTCTTAATTTTTATCTACAAATCGTATCTGGAGGAGACATGTCTTGGGGATGACAGGTTCAAAAAGGAAACATTTCAAATATATGTGATGACTTCATCCTTCAACCTTTCCAACCGCATGAACTCGTTCATTGTCGCTCTCACATTGGATTTCATTATTGGCAGGTGAGAAGGTGCATATATATCCTGAATGTCGTCTGACGGAAAGTGGCAAGGAATACGTTGGAAAAGTGAGCGTGACGGAATCAGGACGGAAATGTCTCAAATGGAGAGACTATCCCTATGGAACAGAGGATGAATACCCGGGCGGCCCACATCTAAACTTTTCGAGCTCTGACCCCTCTGGAACACCAATCATCAACTTAGAATTCGAGGGTTGGTTCCTTAATCGGGACTCCTGGTCTCACCACAACTACTGTCGGAATCCATTCTGGGGCGATAGACCATGGTGCTTCGTTTCCACCCCTAACATCACATGGGAATACTGTAACATCCCAATGTGTACTGACACAGGTATGATATAAATGGCCACTGTAGGGCCCATTGCCTTTCTTCAACCCCTTCCGGCGACAAATTCAACCGTCTCGTATTCCTCCCTGAGAGCATCAACAGGAACGAAATTTATGATAATTCTTCCTCTCTCAACACAGAATCGATCCAGCAAATTTGATGCTTCATCTCCCCGGTGTAGTGGAATGACTCTCCCTTTTGGGAGATGTGAATTTCGTTCCAGTAATTTTTCCCCCCTCCCCGGGGTTGCCTCTCGTGGGAAATTTTTGGAGGGAAGAGACTTACCAAAAGAAAGACATCGATTTGTCGGTGACAAGTCCCTTTTTGTTGCTTCCAGGGCATCATTTCGTCATAAAAATTTAAATTTGATGCCTTTAATTTAGGCTTAGCGCGATGGCTCCAGTCCCTTCCTCCAATGTTGCCGGAAATCGTGCCTTAGTTATCCTAGATGCATGTATCATTCTTAGTATCATTGCCTGGATCTTTTCTTTTTAATGGAGGAGACATTACCGTGTTGAATTCATGGGATGAGGTGAGATCGAAGTGGTGGTTTGCAGTGGCCGTTCGATTTGGTGTAATCCGGAGATATCTCAGGCGGACATTCCTTAATGTACATGATGGAGCTAGCTCGTTCTTCAAGCATTCTAATGGCACTTTCTTCTTAAAACGAGTCGAGACGATTCCAGAAACTCTGGATAGGTCTAATGTTCACCGACCGCACTGAAATAGTTCCTGAACCTTAAAGAAGACTTACAATCGGTCTAATGTTTCACGTTCTCTCTTAAATGGACCATGAAATACTGAGTAGGCATGTGATTTGCCTAACGTTACACGTACTCGACGAGGTATCTCGTAGACCAGAGATTAATCCTCATATGGTTAATTTGTCCGTAGCACTAGGATTGACTTTCTTTTGAACGGAAAAATGTAAACCTAGGCTTGACCAGAAGACATTCCGTTGGTTGGGCCTAGGCCTAAAGTTACTGAATTCCGTAGAGAAAGGGGGGATTTTATGGTTGAGGTTGAGGTTTGGGTTGGGGGTTGAGGTTGAAGAAAGGTAAAACCTTTGAAAATAGGTATTCACATTCTTACACTGATATGTTTTCACGTATTTCACGGATGAACAATTGACAAATTGAAGTGTTTTCGCATGAGGAAATGAAGGAATAAGGGAAGGGTAAAATGGTCCCTTGGAGAAATGCAACATCTCATAAATTATTACAATTAGAAAGTTGGAAAATATTCTATTTTAAATCTTAAATTGCTAAATGGTTACAAAATATTGCTAATTGCAGATAGGTAACAGGAAAATTTGATAAGCAAAAGTGAAGGAAACTTTTGTTTAGTCAGCCTCATCTCTTAAGCCCATGAAAGTATAATCAGATGAACCTAATGCTTAAATGAATCAAATTAAACGAAGCAACTGTAATACAATTAAAGGCGCACTTCGTCCCCTGCAACAAAATTTACGGAAAATAAACACCATAATGAGTATGCTATCATGATTTCGAATGAAAATTAAACAGTTGAACTCCTTTTCAAAGGATATTATATTTAACTGAGCCAAGGCCCTACCGACCAACGTGAGAAAATCCATAACATTTCGATCCTTGACTGTGCCAGAACGAAACCCATGTCATTGAATAGATCTTGGAACGCTCTTTCATGTGACAAAGGGCGCATATTTTTATCAAAACCCACCATCGTAAGAAATTGTCAAATTTCGTTAAAATCACGGAAATTGGGATATTCGACTTTCATTTTCGGCATGCGCGGATGGAAAAATACAAAATATACATGAGCATAAAACTGAGGCAGAGGTGGTCTCTTAGCACTGCGATTTTGCTTTCGTTACATTGACTCCCACAACGGACAATGGGCCGGTGAAATTATAATAAATTAGTACATTTTGAAATAAAATATATAATTCAAGTCTCATAAAACCCTTAGTTCGTGGTAATAATTGGTTTCTGCTAATTCATACATTTCATATCAGCTATGCCATGCATTTATACTGGCATGGTAAGAGAGTTATGAAATTTACCGAAGGGGTCGCTCGGGAACACCGATGCTTTTGATATTCATATCTCCTGTACCAACGTGGATAAAAATTAAATATTTAAGATTTGGGAGTTTCATGTAAGACCGTTTAACTCTGGAAATGTTCAATGTTTTCTGAGCTGGTCGAGCGTCATCCCTCGGTCAGTTGACATGGAATTGCACATATGTCACTCGACTGCACTTCTTGAGTCGAACTATCGTCAGATCTTAAAAGGGGTCTCATCGACTGTGTTTTGACGAGAATCCAGCTACCCTTTCTAGCAAAGAAAAACTGTTTGGATCAACCCGCCCTAATATGCTTATGTTGAATAATATCCTGCTTTTCACTAGATATAACATCTGATGGTCAATTGGGGAAAAGTAAACCTTGCTTCCAAGAACGTAAAGATTAAGAAGAAAATACTGTTTAGTCGCCAAGCTAAATGCATCATGAAAAAAACGAGATAAACAGATTATTCCATTCCGGAACCCTCTACGTAAGCTGATTGCCTCAATACAATCCATTCAAATTAGCCACAAGATAGACAAAGCATTTCATCTATTTCGTCCTTTTTTAAGACCCAATTCCCTTATTTTCCCCACCCCTCCCTCACACCCAGCCCTTTCCCATGTCCTGTGGGAAATATGCTTTCTTGGAAGTTACGCATCGACGAAATGTTGTTGCCCGAGGAGGCCGTACTCATGATTCCAAGAACCCTCGCGCATTTTCGTCACATATATAGTGACCTTTGGTACATTTTGAGAAGTGACTTTATTTTCCTATTCATTGATTTAAGTCTGAACTGCATTATTTTGAATAAAAACAATAATAATTTATTTTAAAAAAACGATGAGGTAAGAACGGCAAACAAAGTAACGCAAACGAACCTCATATTAAGATATTAGCTATATAGTTTTCGGAACGACCAGGGAAAGAAAAGAAAATAGTACTAACCTTGTAGAGCACGAAGGACACATTGACCTTGAATAAGTTACAACCATTATGATTTGTGGTTTAAATATTTATGAAGGTCAGAAATTTCAGTAAGAATCTAAATGTATTCATATTCGGGAGACAATGGAACACTTGACATTAATTTTTTTCTCAAGACTTCAATATTTAAAATGAGCTATTAACTAGCTTTCTAGCTAGGACAAAATGGACAAAGTTAGCTTATATTTTCTCACAATATTATACATGTTTTCATAATTTAAGCACAAGAAGTGACTTTCAAACTATGCAAAAGATGAACGAACATTGAAACCTTGGGTCTTGTATAATCAACACCAAAAATGTTAATAGCGGAGTATTCACTCAGTGTCTCAAATTTTCCAACCTAGGTTGGAAAGAGGCGTAAGAATGTTCGAATACAGGGAGCAACCAGGTCACTCTAAAACCTTCTTCAGATATTTAATGCTAACTCAATATGTCTCGATGAGTGTAAATTCCAAATGAAATGCACTTCTTCTTTGTTTGCCACCAGTCCCTCCGGAGTGCAAGGTGACTCAACAGGGCGGTGAATACATGGGAAGAAAGGATGTGACGATCCTAGGATATCCATGCCTTCCCTGGAGAATGGAAGAATACAGATATTTTATTATCAGGGCGTTCCCAGATTTCGATCGCATCGATGCACATCACAACTTCTGCAGAAATCCGTGGATGCAAAAGTTCAACACCCCATATTTCACGGGTGTGAACATGGCTCCTTGGTGCTTCATCGATGTTGGGAATAGAATAAGGCCTGCTTATTGCGACATCCCATTCTGCAATAAGCGAGTTGAAGATGAAGGAGACAGGACGGGCGTGTACCCGGAATGCCGACTATCAGAGAAAGGGAAGGAATACGTTGGGAGCCAGAACGAGACAGAAACTGGAAAGGCTTGTCTATCGTGGGATTTAAATCCATACGGCGTCCCCTGGGATTTTTTCCCGAGAGGGGAAAAGCATTTCACGAAGTACTTTCATCCCCGGAATCGCTTGCCTGGCGATAAAGTCGGCCATAACCACTGCAGAAACCCAGGAGTGTTCAGGGAGCGACCATGGTGCTTCGTTTCCGACATCGACACGAAGTGGGAGTACTGCGACATCCCTCTGCCAAGACCTAAGTTCGACTATTCTCATCCTGCACTACAATAATAGCACCTTGAGTTTCTGTTATTAAGTGTGGGGACGACTGGTGTAAATATTAGGTACTGCCCCAAAAGTACTAGAGAGGCGCACAGAATACATATATCAGGTAACTCCTTATGTTGGCAAGAAGTCGCCATCACACTTCCCGGTCTGGAAATCTTGCATGTTTGCATGTCTCGCCAGATATCTCGTCTGACATCTGTTGATGTAACGTTGTCCGGACAACGTTCTCGTAATAATGCTGTTTTCAACTTCGAGTCAACAGTAAATCAATGTTGAATCATTGATGCCATACAGAAGTGTCATTTTAATTACCATATAAGTAATGCTGACGTGATGAAGTGGTTTCACGTGAGTCTGTCCTTTCCTTAGATGACCTATAGTACTTGGATTCGTAATAAAGGCATTCGCCAAACTCGGTCACGTTACGCAGAAATATTAATGACTAAAAAAACACATTTAAATGGGAAACACTGTACATGATGGCCACCAAAGCAGCATGTTTACGGAAATAAGATATCAATTATTTTCAAACAAAGTAATTTTTTTGCGATTAACATCACGTTTACTTAAAATTTACGTTCCCATATTTACGTCACCAAATTGTACGTGTATCTTGCATAAACTAGACGTCACTCCATTTGACGTGGAGTACATGATATCAAGTTTATGCAAAATTAACACCACACCATCAATATGAAACTTTAGCTGATCATCCAGCAGTTGCAGTACCAAGATTCCTCACTAGATGGAACCCTTGTTCCCTGCATCCTACAAATACTATTAAGTACTGGATTTCCTGATAGAGCATCAGATTTTCTTACCATCCTTCCACTTTTTTTTTCATTATACAATCCATGAATATATATATGGAAAACATGAAATTATTAAATATTTTTCATAATATATGACTCAAGGAATTATTAAATGCTAAAGTTGAGCTTTTTATTACAGCAGTGCACGGGATTAGGGAAGAGTAGAATCCCAGATCCACAAATACTAAATATTCTTTATCCTAAACGGAAGAGAGATCCTTTGAACATCTACTTCTCCTTCCAATGTTTCGGTACGGGAGGGTGGAAGCGGTAGGGCGTTTTGGTTCTCTTGTTTGCTGGTGAGGATGAGTGTACTCGTCCAACCACCCTTGAGTTCTGAAATATGGAAATGAATGGGAGTTACAGTATATCAATTCTTTTCAAAGGTGCTGATTGGCTCGTTAAAGACACATGAATGCTAGGAGGAAAGTAACATAAATCCTACGTAAAATAGACGTAAACATCCTGTTGGGAATGCAAACGGGAAATTAACGTCAATTTTACGTAAAATTGACATTAATTTTATTTCACCGTTTATGCAAACATGTTGACATTATCTTGACAATGGTTTGCGTAAAAATAACATAAAATGAACAAAAAATTGCATTCATTATATGCAAAATGAACATAAACATGCTGTTTGGGCATGCGCCATGCACACTGTCCCAGGACAACACTTTGGCATTATTAATAAGGAGATCAGGAATGATTCCAGTAGGCATTTCCTATTTCTGTATCGAATATCATTACTTGAATGGAGCCTCATCTACAATATGACTGAATTCTCTAGAGTATATTTGATTGAATTTGTATGAGTGATGGAATGAAATGAGTCCGTTCGATCCATGATCATAAAGGATCACAAGCTCGAATCCGGCATTCGAAAGAAAGCGTCCTCCAAGTGATATCCACCTAACCAAAGAATGCAATTATTACATTAACCAGGCAATATATTTTGTGACAAAAGGCGCATTACAATAGCGAAAATCCAGTGGACCCCATCGCTTGTCATTATTTTCTTAAAAGAAAGTGAAAAGAGTAGGAATTCTTTTTTATAACTAAATATTTAAACTCTAATAATTATTAATGAAGGACATCAAACTTGCAGGAAATTTCGATATAATTGTCTTGGAAATGGAAGTCCATTACAGTATCGGGATTAGGGATTAAAACAATACCGCAAGGCACTAAATGTGGTTTCAGCATTCGGCCTTAAGTCTAAAAATCTTCATGAGAATATTTCTAGCTATTGTTGCCACTCTATTTCTTAAACGCCAAACGTTTGCTGACCTATCTCATACACGTCGGTGCCTATATCGTAAAATAGGTTTGACTCCGCAAGATTTTGAATCTTTGTTCCTAGTTATGCGAGCCGAAAATGGCATTCTGCTTCTTTGATGCGACGAAATTCGACTTAAATGCCTTTCAGCCACAGTCCCACCTGCATTAAAATGCAAAGTGCAGGAACGGCCACAAAAACTCTTAAGTCTCTTCCTCAACTTTCAAATTTTGGAAGCCGACGACTATTGAGAAAGGCCTTGTTCCATCCATCCTCAGAGAAGACTTAGCAAACAGCTTCATGACATTTGAATATCCTTAAGAGATAAGGATAATATCATCACTACAAAGTTCAGGACACCCAGATCATAAAGTACTCCCTCAGAATAGACAGGTGAACTGGCATTGGGAAGACGGGGTCTCATGAGGATTCAATGTCAATATTCATTCATTGTTCACTGTCGCCAATAACAAATATGAACCTGTGTGAGTATCTACTAGTCATATTTCCACAGATCCTTTTCGTTTCATAGAACCACCAGAATGCAAAATGACATGGCATGGAGCGGAATACGTTGGGAAGCAGAACGTGACGATGAGGGGGTTTCCTTGTCTACCTTGGCTCATGCTCATACAAGAGGAAATGGAATTCATATTCCACGATGAATTGGATGGAGGTCACGCGTTTTGTCGAAACGATGACTTCTACGCAAGTGGTCCGGGATGTTATATAGACATCAATATGTCTTGGCGATATTGGCGATCTTGCGACGTTCCATTTTGTCCCATCGTCGGAAAATGCGACGTTCGAGTTGGAGGGCAATGTGTCAGTGAGTAGCAAACTCTTCTCTAGAAACTTCCGTGTTCATCAAGCTCGTTCTTATAATCCTGTGTTATCCTGGTACATTTTGATACGCGGACTAAACTGCAGATAGACATGTTTCTTGCTTTTTACAGCCCCAGAAGAATGTAAGAAAGACGTGAAGGGGGAATCCTACATAGGCAAAAAAAATGTGACCAGAAAGGGACACCCGTGCCAGCCGTGGAAACGACCAGCCTACCTTTTTCTTGTTCTATATATACGCCTGATACTCCCTTTACTTTTAGCGAGCTACTATTTAGAGGTCTACAACTATAGCCTGCTGAACGTGGGTTGAGTGTTGAAAACAGCCTTCTGGAACAATGACGAGGAAGGTCCTTGGTGTTACAAGAGCGATGAGATTGGTAGGGATTATTGTGATATTCCCATCTGTACCCAAAACGTTCCAGAGAAGTAGGGACATCAATTTTGCCTTGCTTGTATTACTTGAATGCAATTACTACTTGCTCCCAGTTCGTTCTATTTCAAGCAGGTTATCGCTTTGCGCTAATTCTAATATATATCTCTGTAACGCCCCGCCTTTATCGACACACGACAAAGAGTTTCCTTGACGAACGCAAAACAAAAACCCAGTCCAGCCATTCGCACGTAACTATGCCGTGAAGAATGGGAAACTTTTAAAGTTATTCATTCTTTATAGTAATATGAATCGCCTATTGGAGTTCCACGTGTCTTTAATTTTCAGCATTTTGTGTTGAATTGGAAGTCAAACGGCTTCATTTCTTTTATCTGGGAGGGGGGGGGGGGGGTGGAACTGGGAAAATTAAATGACACCTATCCCATTCGTGTAATTTGTTTATTACAACTATGTTCACGAACATCCCGATGCATTATTTCCATTCGACTGTTATGCAACTTTCATTTGTATCATATTCCCAGATGGGGAGTTAGGTGGGCAATGTCTCAGCACTGTCGAAATGTTAGTTGCATGAACATTTTTCTTGTTTCTTCCAGTTAGTCGAATTTCTGCTTAACTGTTGATGCACCGTTGCATGCCAAACAAGTTTCACCATTCGCTTATGATTCCCTATAATTCCCTAATATAAGTCTTGATTACGCGAATGTCATCCCAATTAATTCCGGCTTTGGTGTTTTGAAAAATAGTCATCCCATTGCTTCATTGAATGTGTAATTAAATTCCAAAAAGGGAAATCATGGAACACAAAGGGCAAGAGACAAACTGAAAAAGAAAACCGATCTCTCTAAAATAAGGATTCGGGATATGTTCTTTGAAATAGACCATTCGATCACTGTTTACTCTAAATTTAAGGACCGTCTATTTACATAATTAACTCAAATTGGTATCAAGTCCCGAGATGGGTGAAAATGTTGCTTTCCATACAACCAAAGGGTGGAGGTGAACGTGAAAAATGGAAACGCACTTTTGCTTCGAGGAAAGGTTAACTGAACGAATTAGATGCGAAAGCAAAATTACTTAAATTTCTGGAGCATTGTTATGTTGAATGGAACGCGCTGAAGTGAGTGAGGAAGGGACAGGCAGAGTTAACGAGGCAGTAGGCAGCTGGAATAGACGCTTTCAGTTCACCACGGTGAGAGAGCCTATGTTCATTTCTTTCATTTCACATTGGTCTACGGAGATGCGTAATTACTATTTGTGACCAAAAAATCCACCGTGATCGGGGGTCCCACTAGTGTCACTTCACATATTTGAAGATAAAAATGTTGATATCAAGTAATCTACGTGCGTTATTGAATTTTTAAAAAACGTTTTTGAATCTTGTTAACACTAACAGTGTGCTTACAAATCGCAATAATTCTCTAAACCCAGGACAGATATTCTTTAATACTTCAATCGAAATCGGCCGAAAGCGGTGATGAATGGTTGTGACGTATATTCAGCCTAACACATGAGGACTACAGGGCTATGGGATTCAAGTCCATAGGCTGGACCGCAAAAACGTTGGTATACTTCTAATCTATCTACTTGTAAAAGACTTTCCCTGTATATACTCTCAATAGCTACAGGGTGAGTCTAGAATCCTGTCCAATTTTTGGAAATCACTTGATTCGTG